ACGGCCATGAATTATTGTTTGTGTGTCGGAGAATTGTCATGAGAATCAACTAAAATATGACAAGTGACTAGTTAAGATATTTTTTTTGTTGCTTTAACTGGTTATGAAAGTGTTTGTAGAGAAACTTTCTATACTCGAAAAAAAAAAAGAGTACATGTATGAGGAGTGCACATCCAATAAAATTTTTGGAGTGTCAATAATATAGCACCAAAATTACAACTTATGAGGGTTGTTTTATTAATTGACTGTTTTAATTTTAAAGATAAATTCCACCAAATTAAGAGTAGGTAGAGTTATGATGCATGGTTCATGATAGGATTATTAATGTCTATGCAAATAGGGTCAAAATCACTTGAAATACTTGCAAGAATACAAGAATGTTGTAGTATAGATGCTCATGCAAGGTCGTTCTTCTCAAGGACTATTTGGATACTTTATGTAGAAACAATTCCTAATCAAATACTTAGAATTAAAAATTGAGAAAAGAGATTCTGAAATTGGGTAATATTAAAAACGAATTCTAATTAAAAACTAATATGACAAAAGAAAAGAGTTTTAAATACCAATTTATAAAAGCACTAGGGTTCCACCATCACCTAGCAATCCTATGTATTCTTACCAATTACTTATGATCTACACATGTCACTTTGAAGGTTAGGTTTTCCTAATTTATATTCTACTTGGAACCTCCAACATAGAATGTATATCTAACATGCAACCCGTCCGGACGTTCGGATCAAATCTGAACATGAAATATTCGTTATGCTTTATGAAAACCCTTTGAAAAACCATGCAATCCTTAAGACGTGGTGTTCATCCTAAGTGAAATTACAATTATTAATCACAAGAAGCCAGCGTCAATTTCAGGGAACATTCCGACCAAAATTGCATCAAATTACTTTTCTAAAGATCCTAATGGTGATTAAGCATTAAGACAATTAGATAGTTTTAATCACGGTGATCAATAATTCAAAGTATGCATGCAATCAATCATAAGCAATTAAATAAAAATCATATATTCATGCTAAGGCTTAAGGCTTCGCCCTAGCAAAAAGAATTAATTACGCATATTCATAATTAAAATCATAGAAAATATTATTAAGAAAATGATTGAAAACACCTTGAAGTAGAAAATCTCCAAGAACACTAGCAATTCTCTCTGTCTCCAAAGTTGCATAAAAGAAAGCATAGGAAAAACTAAGAATGGCAAATCAATATATTTGCTAAGCCATCGCACAAACCCTAAAACATAGGTCACTTACTCCAACTAGGAAACTAAATAATAATAAAATATCTTAGAAAATAAAATCCTAATAAAACTAGGAGAATCTGCCAAGCACTTGTCCAGCCACGTTTTAGCCTCAGATATCCTCCAAATCCAACCCATAATAGCTTGTTTTAAATATTAGGACGTTCTGAACACATCTTCAGAAGGCAACGAACCCATCCGAGGTCATCATGGGCTCCAAAAACGCAATTTAAACCCAAAAAGTCAATATTCCAGCACCGCACAATTCTTCTTTATTTTATTGCCAGAAAATAACCGCTTGGTGGAAAAATCTGATATTTTGATACGATCAAGCTAACTGACTCACGAACGTCCTCCAACTAGAATTACTCCAAAATTCCTCCATTTGACCATGTTTTGCTCCAGAGAAAGTCGAAAGTCCTATATTGGAAATACAATTCAAAGTATCAAAATTCTTTCAAAATATTGACCAAAATATACTAAGAATAGGGTTAAATATATAATATAAAATCTACTCATCAGTTCATAAAATTCTCCAATGTTTTCTTTGTATGTATTTATTTAGGGGAGTGCTACCACTAGTACAAAAACATACTTACGCGACGGAGCAAATTGCGTCGCACAAAGTATGTTTGCACAACGGTAACAACAAAACGTCACGCAAAGGCATTTAGCGCAACGAAGACTGCCGTCGCGCAAAACAGCTTCGTGTGACGAATAACCACCTTTGTCGCGCAATGTTGGGAAAAAAATAGTAAAGGTCTTGGTTTGGGCGACGTAGGTGCTACGTCGCGCAAAGCAGTTTTGCGCGACAACAGTCTTCGTCGTGCAAAATTGTTTTGTGCGACGAATGCACACCTTCGTCACGCAAAGTCAATGACTTTGTGGTATAACATAAGATTTTATGGTATCCACTTGTGTAAATACATTAAATTGATGATCAAATTAGTTCATTGTATTCATATAGGATCAAGGAGTGTAGTTGTAAAAAAAATCATCAAAATCGGAGTTAAAATAATCGTTGAATCGTAATTTTTTCTTTATAACCGTCGAAAAGTTTTGTCCAGTTACTTGATCTCTGAATATTTGTTTTTTGAGATTTTTGGCGTATGCGATCTCGAAGTATATACAAACACGTTTTTCGGTTGGATCGTTGAAACTAGTTTCGTAGAATGCGTATCCCATCAAAAGTTCAAAACAATAGATTCACTAACACTTAAGAGTTTATTTATTCTTTCAGTAAGTATAACATAAGATCTTGCATCTACTAGTGTAAATATTTTAAATTGACGATCGAATTAGTTCATTGTATTCATATAGGATTAAGGAGTGTAGATGCAAAAAAATCATCAAAATCGGAGTTAAAATAACCGTTAAATCATGATTTTTAGTTTCTAACCGTCGAAAAATTTTGTCTCGTTACTTGATCTCTGAATGTTTTTTTTTTTTTTTTTGCGATTTTTGGCGTATGCGATCTCGAAGCTTATATAAACACGTTTGACGGTTGGATTGTTGAAATTAGTTTCGTAGAATGCCTATCCAATCAAAACAATAGATTCGCTAACACTTAAAAGAGTTTATTTATACTTTCATTAAGTATAACATAAGTAGTGTAAATATTTTAAATTGAAGATCGAGTTCATTCACTGTATTCATATAGGGTCAAGGAGTGTATCTGTAAAAAAATCATCAAAATCGGAGTTAAAATAACCGTTAAATCATGATTTTTTGTTTATAACCGTAAAAAAGTTTTGTCCCATTACTTGATCTCTGAATGTTTGTTTTTTGAGATTTTTGGCGTATGCGATCTCGAAGTATATACAAACACATTTTTCGGTTGGATCGTTGAAACTAGTTTCGTAGAATGCGTATCCCATCAAAAGTTCAAAACAATATATTCACTAACACTTAAGAGTTTATTTATACTTTCATTAAGTATAACATAAGATTTTGTGGTATCCACTAGTGTAAATATCTTAAATTGAAGATCGAGTTCATTCACTGTATTCATATAGGGTCAAGGAGTGTATCTGTAAAAAAATCATCAAAATTGGAGTTAAATAACCGTTAAATCGTGATTTTTCGTTTATAACCGTAAAAAAGTTTTGTCCCGCTACTTGATCTCTGAATGTTTGTTTTTTGCGATTTTTGGCGTATGTTATCTCGAGGCATATACAAACAAGTTTGACGGTTGGATCGTTGAAATTAGTTTCGTAGAATGCGTATCTCATCAAAACAATAGATTCACTAACACTTAAAGAGTTTATTTATACTTTCATTAAGTATAACATAAGATTTTGTGGTATCCACTAGTGTAAATATTTTAAATTGAAGATCGAGTTCATTCATTGTATTCTTGTAAGGTCAATGATTGTAGCTGTAAAAAATCATCAAAATAGGAGTTAAAATAACCATTAAACCGTGATTTTTCGTTTATAACTGTAAAAAAGTTTTGTCCCGTTACTTAATCTCCGAATGTTTGTTTTTTGCGATTTTTTGCGTATGCGATCTCGAAGCATATACAAACAAGTTTGACGGTTGGATTGTTGAAACTAATTTCGTAGAATGCGTATCACATCAAGTTCAATGGTGTGTGTATATATATATATATATTTATTTATTAAGTAGCTTTAAATTTATTTATTTTGTACTCATAACACTTAAGAAATTGAATGATATGTATATTCATTAAGTAGCTTTATATTTATTATTGTAGTTCGGATCGGGATTTTGTTAGAAAAATATATTATTGTGGGAAAAAAACAATATAAGTCTTGTTTCGGCACCAAAATCTTGCGCGACGCACAAGCCACGTTGCGCAAACGTCATTTGTGCGACGTAGGTACACCTTCATCACACAAAATAACTTTGCGTGATGACAATCTTCGTCGCACAAAACTGTTTTGCGCAACAAATGTGCACCTAAGGTGCAAGTTGTTAAAATTATCGGGTCCAATTGTAAAAAATAGGCGCTTATTTTGAATTTTCCCCATTTACTTGGACAAAATGGAAAAGAGTCCTTCCTTCTCATCCCTCTCGCTCATCTCGCCCTCTCTCTCACTCCGTCTCGCGTAGCCTTATTCGCGACTGCACCCAGCCAGCCTCCTCCTCATCCTTCTCAATCCTGGTTTCAATGGTATCAATGGTATCATCCTTCTCGAATCCTGGTTTCCCTCCTGTGCACACCCACCCACCTCCTTTTTCTGCCATGGTTGCTGTGAGCGAGACTTCGATTCGCGAGACCGTGGATAACAATCTCCATAGTCCCCGCCGCTACTTCGCTCTCTGCAACAACAACAAAACCTCCATAGCCGTATCCGTTCATTCCAACAACCATATCTCTATGCTCTTTTAACTTCCGGCTCGTTCTCACCATATGGGCTCCACTTCCGCCATCTCTCTCTGCTCTCATCCCAAGGTACTTTCTCTCTCTCTCTCTCTCTCTATCTCTCTCTATCTCTCTCTCTTACTTGAATACTAAAACTCCTATTCGGTTCTCAGATTTTACTGCAGCCACAAGGGTCTAGGAGTGCTTTTTCTGGGCTATCGTGGGCAGGGCGTGGTTGTACCTGCTATCCTACCGCGAAGAAGGAGATGCTTAGCGGTAAAAGCCGCTTCTAGGCCATCCGGTGTTCGAAGAGTGTACAGAGAATCGAAGAGCGGAGGCTCATTGTCTGTTGCTCCTATCAAGCAGCTTGCTTCCTTCGTTGTTCCCGCCACCTCCTTCTTGGCCGTCACTTTTGGTACTGCTTTTGCTTTCAATTCCTTTTTGTTTTACCGTCTCTTAGGCAAAAATTTAACTTGGTTGAATGTTGGATAGAAATTAGAAAAATTTAACATGGTTAAAATGCGGTAGAAATTGGAAAACTTCAATTTGGTTGAATGTTGGATAGAAAATAGAAAACTTAACTTGGTTAAAATGTGGGGTAGAAATTGGAAAACTTTAATTTGGTTGAATGTTAGGTAGAAATGGTATTGGATTTTGAAGTTTATTCCAGCATATCGTACTGGTGTTATTGTGATCATGTATGAAGACTTCTTGACTGATAAATGTGGATGGGTTAATTGTTATGTTGTGAGAAAATTATTGAAGAAAGATTTTTATGCATTGGAACTGTTTGAGAAAATGTCTGAGAAAGGTAGTGAAGACAAAATGGAAATATCTCACTAGAGAAACCTCTACATTTTTGAGAACACTAATTATATCTAGAATCCCTCTGGTTGCACAATTATTGTTGAGCTTTTAGTAAGTAAATTTCAAGGAATCTCTGCTACTTTTCACCAATATGCTACAAGTATACCACCAATTGCCTTTGCCATTCCTTGGAAGCCAACCCCAAATTATAAATACAAATGGAATGAGCTTTCCCAATTTCAAAATGTGGAGTTCGATCATGTTGCAAAGGCAATTGAGAATGTGGGGGTCAGATGGATGGTACTACCAACTGCTTCAATCTTATTTCTCTTGGTTGATGAAAAGTCTAAGAGACAAAGTGAATGCACTATGGGCACCTATTTTGATTTAGTATGCTCTCTCGAAGGTCACCTAGAAAGCAATTTTGGTGCCTTGGCTATTGGTTTACATGCTGATTTCTATCTTTGGTTCACTCGTAACCTTGATTTTTGGCCTATTTGGGATCCGGGAGATGCATCAGAGAAAGCTGTCAAACTGATAATCTATTTTCAGTACATGGAGGTCAAGCGAATGGGTGTTTTTGTGAATCTATTTTTCCGGAGGGAACTACCATTGAAAGGTATTGATGTTGAACGGAGGGCAGTGATTGTAGTTGAACTGAAAACATGCCTTTTCACAAGTTCTCTGAATTTGAGGATTGAGGTCAAGCTATATGGGCAAGAGAAATCGTTGACGGATATCCAACTCAGAAAGAGGAATCCACATCAGGTGAACAGCAGTTGGAATACCACAGGCAAGCATTTTCATGTACAGCCCATCAAACCCACCAAAATCTTCAAATAGCATATCAAATTCCTGGTATGAGAATTAAAAAATTAGAAACATAATTAAAATAGCTATTTGCTGCATGCATAATCTGTTTATCTTTCTTTAGCTACATGCTTGCTTGAGAGTTATCAGATGAGGGGTTTTGTCTCGTATTTGCAATGCGCCTATGTCGTAAGATGCACTTTTAGGATTAATAATTGGATTAAGGCAGATTTCCAATATATAAATCATGTACCAATTGCCAACTATGACGACCTCTTATCCTTTCGAACTTTCTCTCTACCTTAGCTGGCAAGCTATTAACTTGGTGATATTATCATGATGTCAATCAATTTAATCATTGAATTACTACTTTTATTTCAAATGGTAGCTACAAGCCAACCTTATCTTCCATGTACTTAAGCTTTCAATTTGCTTTGAGAACTATTAAATGTAATGAACTTTGGTATTGCCTTTGTTCCCTTAATCTGTATTTGTTTTTTTTTTCCTATATCTTCTCTGCAACCTTTTGGAGTCTAAGTGAGAAATGGCTCAATTATTATGTTTTATCACATGGCAGCTCATATTTAGAACAAAGAGGGTGTGTGGTTTTGGTGTAGTGATATTTGTATCATAATTAAACTTGTGGTTGTGTGGTTTTGGTGTAGTGAGATATGAGGAGTGATGAAGGAGCTACATAAACTGTAGCGAGCTGCATGAAGTAGTGAGATACATGAAGTAGCTATATGAAGGAGTGATGAAAAAGCTCTATGAAGGAGTGATGAAGGAGCTACATACACTGTATGTACAAAAGGGAAGATGCTTTTATCTGCACGTCTTCGAAAGAATTCAAGTTTGTATTTTTAGTGTTTAAGGACGTGTGTTAATATGTTCAAACACATATCTTAGGTTTGTAATGAATGTATTGGCTTTACCACATTGATCTTATATACATTTGTTTTTATTAATGATAATACAAAATATTCTTTAAACAATGCTCAGTGGAAATTTTACCAAAAAACATATATTTCTTGCCTCAATTTCCATTGGTATATTAATTATTGTTTAGAATTTAATTACAATATTTATTAAAAATTAAATTAAAAATATTTTTGCCAAAAAAAAAAAAAATTGGTTTGTGCGACGAAGAAGTAACTTGCGTCAGATAACCTACGTCATACAAAGTAGTTTTGCGCGACTTAGGGACATGTGTCGTGCAAAGACAGTTTGCGCAATGTAGGGATATGCTTCGCGCAAAACTACCTTGCGCGACGTAGGTTACTTCTTCGTTGCGCAAACCCTGCTTTCATTGCCTTGGCGCGACAGTTAGTGTGCGACGAAGGTTTCGTTGGGCTAATTTTTGCGCGACGTATTTTGACTTTGCGCAACGAAGGACCTGCGTCGCGCAAACTGTTTTTGCACTAGTGTACGAATACTATTTACTTAAATTATGTTCTGTAAAATATATGATGAGGTTGTTGATGAATGAATTATTACTTAAACATTGATTAACGTACTTAATTTTTTTTGATGACACATCACATGACTTGCAAATGTCGTCTAAAATTTTGACCAATTGAGCATTACACATCTATTTATTAACAACTAGCAGACAACATATATTTTCAATCAAAAGTTTTGACACTAAATTTCCAACAGAAAAAATAATCATTTATTTATTTATTTTCTGATAGTGCTACAATATTTCATTCCGGGGTTGGTTAACTCTTAATTACCTTCGCGACGATGTTAATGCTTTGTTTACTTCATATCAATAAAGTTTTGGCCTGAGTCGCAACACAAAATATAAGTAGGTCCCAACACAAAACTTATGTGTATATAACGACTGAAATTAATTAGCTACTAAAAATCCCTTGGAACAACACACAAAAATAGTCCCCTTCAAACGTCAAGTTACACATACATAAAAATGTATTCTTATTTTGTATGATAGAAAATAAACTTCAGAAGAAAAAGAAAAAGATGAGATTATTAGGTATTTGCGTGTGGGATTATCAGGACCATGAACCGTAACAACACTCCTCTACTTGTAGAATTCCATGATCCAAAGATTAGCAGTGAAACATTCATATCTGATTCCACTAAATCCAGAAGCAGTTGCTAAGGCCATGAATTCTTCTTGGCTCCTCTCCATCCCTCCCGGGGTTTGAGTCATCATATGCAGATCAAGTTGGCCGTTGGTCCTCACAGATAGGTTAGAATCTGGCTTAATTGGGAGAAGTGCCTCCACCACGATCACTTTTCCATTGTCTGGAATTGCATTGTAACAATTTTTCAATAACTTTATGCAGTCTTTATCCAACCAGTCATGAAGTATGAACTACAAAATAGTCCCAACAAAAATGGAATTATTAGTTAAACAGAAAAGCTTCGGTTAATGATATTCATTGGAAAAAGGCTTCTCATGGTATAAAAGATCAAATAAAAAGAAAATTCCAATTTATAATATTACTTTTCTCAGGCCAAATTGAATATTTAACAAACAAAAATAATGCATCAGGAGTTTAAAAATCACCTTCAAAAAAATGGCATCCCCATTTGGAATACTTTCAAACATGTCTCCTCCTACATTTTCAACACCTGCAAAATAAATTACTCCAATCTTTTATTACGCAGAAAAGATAGAATTCAAATTATAAGCCATAATACTATAAATTTAAAGTCGTACCAGGATAAGAGGAGGCATGTTTTATAACATGAGGTAAGTCAAAATTGATGCCTTTAATATGTGGATATTTAGAAGTAATGAGACTAATTGCCCCTCCCAAATTACCACCAATATCAACAAGCTGCGTAACGTGCTCAAAACCTTTGTAGAGCTTGAGAATTCTCTTCATAACTATGGTGCTGTGGTTGAACATTGCCTTGTTGAATATTTCATTAAACCTATGGTCGACACTTGGATACTGAAAGTGGTGCATGCCATGAGCTCTGTCAAAGGCAATTCCTCCTTCAATAACTGAATCTTTCACCTGACGCCTGTCGATTTTCACAAAATTAGAGTTAGCTATAGCTACTTTAATGTTGTATTCTTAGATCTAGACTAGGGGTAGTGCTAGTTAGATTAGGAATTTTCGATTCTACCATTAAAATTTCTGATCAAATAAAAACTTTTCCATAAAAGAGAGAACTCCGGTTCTAAAATAATTTAACAGTTTCGGATTTGGAAATTTTGATCTTATCCTTGAACAAATATGGGACACATTCATGTATATACGAAGCTCATGACCAACGAATCTGGGACACATTTTGATCCTCTTCATACATACATGAACATGCCCAATTTTCAAAATGTGGTTGAGCAGCAAGTCTTGACTAAAAAACATACCAGCCTTTTAAGAAGGCCTCGTCTTGAACCATAGTCAACACAGGGGCTAAGGAAACACCATCTTCATTAGTCACAAAGTGCTTGGACACAGGGGTAAGGCTGTAGAGCCTCCGGAAACACTTGTCAAGTTTACCGTTAACAACTGTGCAGTCGAGCACGGAGTTGCTGGCCAGGACAGCTAGAAGGCGATCTAGCATCATGGGTCCGTCAGGGGTCTTGGTTCCGATGTGAGCTGCGATCTCAGATGAAGAGAGCTTCGCATTTTGACCCTCTTTTGCTATGATGTCAAAAACGCCAAGCTCAATTGCTGACTGCATGGAGAAGGACAGCACTGAAGAAACCACCAGCTGCAGTGCATGGCAGTAGCTCTCTTCTTCTTTCCTTGCTTCATCATCAAGAGGAATATCAGGAAGGCCTTTTGGTTCCTCTAGAGAAGCCATTGGACTAGTGCTTGTGCATCTAGCTAAGCTGTCTACATTGCTTTATATGCTAAAAAATCTTCGATTTATTAGGTTAAGTGTTCTGTCATTTTCATTGTTTATTGTTTTATTTTTGACTGGATTTATTTTTATTGTTTTATTTTCATACTTGATATATTATAGCTTACAAGTTGGGATTAAACAAAGTTGTCTGCGGGCATGGATTGCTTGAATAGTCAAATTAAGTAATGGGAAATAATTTTGAATGACAGTGAGCACAAGGTTGGGATGAGGATCCTCTCTGGATCCCTTTGGTAGAGATCTTAGAGATTCTCACATCATGACCGTTAATTTTAAATCGTGTCGTTAATTTTCGTTAAGTATTATTTGTGTTTAATCTTAAATAAAGAAAATTAAAATGATTTTTAGCCGTACGATATACGATAAACGATTAGGATGTGAGAATCATTAAGATCCCCACAATTTAGAATTGAATGAGATCCAAATCCACAAATTTGAATATTAAATTGAGTTTTTTTTTCAGAACAGGAGTTAAAACCATTGGTCCAAGTAGCAAACTAAAAGTCTCCAACTACCACTTCAATTAAAGTTGCGGATGAATAACTGATTCATTTGACTGTCTGTACCAATGAATGAAGAGTCGACCAAATGATGCGACGAGTTTTGTACGTTGTTACTAATCGCAAGTTTAAAATAAGACAAACGTGCGAATCTTTTTGCCTATGGTTATGTTTGGTTAAAATGATGCGTCTTTACACTAATACTGTAATTTGGACTAAATCTCACAAATGATTAGTCATAATAAATTCTTATTAAAATTATTATTTATGAAATTCGAACTTAAGATTTTTTTATTAAACTCATTATTTACGAAATTCGAACTTAACATCTTTTATTTATAATAAGTACAACTAAATCACAATTGTTGATGCACAAAACCGGAGGGGTCTTGGAACAACGTAAATCCGGCTGTGAATCTGCAAGAAAGTAAAGAACACAAGATGTATCGTGGTTCACCCCAATGTTTGGGCTACATCCACACTGATATTGTATTTCTCTGTTTGTGAAAGGATTGTGAGGGAGAGAGCCCTTTGATTGTGAGGGTGAATAGGCCCTTTTATAGAATAAGGGATCCTCACTTATTACATATTTGCCCCTCCATTTATTACATAATTATATTTGAGTCCCCGAGTATTTATACGAGATCTAAATACGAAGGCCCTAAGTATGGTACAAACAGTAGTCCCCCAAGTCTTCAGTTAAGAGAGTTTTTTGGCTGGAAACTTGAAATTCAGTCCATGTGTGGGCCAAAGTAACTAGATGTCGTCTAGAACTGAATACTCGATATGAGGCGGTGTTCAAAGTGAAATGATGCTCAACTAGAAGTAGCACATGTTGTGAGGCTGCTCGGCTTGTGGCTTATGTTGCCTTGGTTGGCTCGGCTTGTGGCGTTGAAGGTGAGGGAGTCCATTTTATAGAATAAGGGCTCGCTCCTCAATACATAAGTGATGGGTAATGAGTGATGCTCGCGGCTAGGTGGTGGCTTAGCTGGCGGCGATACTCTCTAATGATGGTGAGGGAGTCACTTTTATAGAATAAGGGCTCGCTCCTCAATACATAAGTGATGGGCTAGAGTGATGCTCGCGGCGAGGCGATTGCTTAGCAGGCGGTGATGCTCTCTGATGATGGTGAGGGAGTCCCTTTTATAGAATAAGGGCTCACTCCTTAATACAGAAGTGATGGGTGCTCTCTAATGAAAGTGAGGGAGTCCATTTTATAAAATAAGGGTTTGCTCCTCAGTACATAAATAATGGGCTAAGTCCCTCAAGTATTTTTTTATGAGGCCCAGTTGCGGAAGCCCAATATATGGTACATAGTGTAGTCCCCAAAGTCTTCAGTTAATAGAGTCTGTTGGCTGGAGACTTCAAATTGAATCCATGTATGGGCCGAAGTGGTGGTTGTTCGGAGGCGGTATTTGTATACCCTGCACTGAAGCTTTGTAGGTGAAGCTTTGCAAGTGAAGCTTTGAAGGTGGAGCTTTTGTAAATGAAGCTTTTGAAGTTAGAGCTCTCGAAGCTGGAGCTCTGTAAATGAAGCTTTCGAAACTGATTGACATGAGTGATGCTTATGAATGTTTATGTTGATTGACATGAGTGATGCTCATGGATGTTGACACGAGTGATGCTCATGAATGTTGACATGAGTGATGCTCATGAATGTTGACATGAATGATGGTCATGAATGTTTATGTATGATTGACATGAGTGGTGCTCATGAATGTTTATGTATGATTGACATGAGTGATGCTCATGTATAATTTTGTAGTACTGGACGTACTTTTGATCACCTAGTGGGTGATAATAGCGACAGGCTGCCGAATAATTTTGGAGTACTGGGTGTACTTTTGATCACCTGGTTGGTGATAATAGTGGCAGGCTGCCGAATAATTTTGGAGTACTGGGCGTACTTTTAATCACTTGGTTGGTGATAAAAGAGGCAGGTTGCCGAATAATTTTTGTAGTACTGGACGTACTTTTGTTCACCTGGTTGGTAATAATAGAGGGCCTGGATTTTTTGGGTATATGGGCCTTCGCCCTTCACATAACATTCCAGCCTATTATTTTGGGCTTGCCTTTTTTTTAAATTTATTTTTATTTTATTTTATTATTACCCTTTAATGGGGTTATACAGATATCTGCGAGAGATAAGAAAAATAAATTACGTCATTCAAAACAAAGGTTTCGACACAAAAGCTTTGACAGTTGCAGATCGTTGGTGCGTACTGCACTTACTGTATACTGGGTTGTTGCAGATCTTTTTCCATGTGCGTATTGCGCCTACTGAACGTTTTACCTTTTCCTTTCTCTTTATTTTTCTTACTTTTGGCAGATGACAGATAAGGGAATAATGCCATTTTCTTTTTTTGCGTTTGCTTTCGTTTTCTGCTTTGCTTTTGCTTTCGTTTTTCTCAGCTCACTTGATTGCTTTTGCCTTTCCTTTGCACCTTTGTTGCTTTTGTTTTTTTTTGTTTCTGGATCTTGAGGTTTGGAAAAATATGAACCAGAGTTACCCAGTTTCCAAACCTAACCAGGTTGTGGAGTGCCCATCGAAGAGCTGTGCTTGCTGCATCCACCAAATGTGGCACGAATCTTGACTGTACGATCTTCACCTTGTTGGGCTTCTCCAGAGACAAGTTCACCAGCGAAGCCAGGGTGTTTTGTTGTACAGTGCTGTATCGCGAGATAACTCACTGATTCGATGGCGGCGATTCTCCCCCTTGTAGCCGAAGCAAAAGCTACCGTTAACACGCTGTATAATGAGACACTGCAACCACACAAATTTGCACCTCTGCCACTGCCATGGTCGACTTCCCCAAATCTCTCTTTCCGAAGCGAGTCCTGAAGCGAGTTAAAGCTGAGAATAATCCTCACGCCGCATTCGCACTACTCGACTCAGTGACCCGCCACCCCAACTACAACCATTCCCCCGACGTCTTCCACCACATCCTCCGCCGGCTCGTCGACTCGAAACTCGTCGCCCACGTAGACCGAGTCGTTGAGCTGGTTCGGACCCAGAAATGCAAGTACCCTGAGGACGTGACATTGACGGTGATCAAATCGTATATGAAGAACTCCATGCCGGATAAAGCTCTGGTCGTGTTTCAACAGATGGAAAAGATTTTCGGGTGTGCGCCCGGCGTAAGGTCATACAATTCTCTGCTGAATGCATTTATTGAGTCCAATCAGCAGGACCGAGCTGAGAAGTTTTTTGCCTATTTCGAAACGGTGGGTTTGGAGCCGAATTTGCAGATTTACAATGTTCTAATCAAGATTTCGTGCAAGAATAAGCATTTTGAGAAGGCCAAAGGGTTGCTGAACTGGATGTGGGAAAATGGTCTGGAGCCTGATATGGTGACGGAGAGTGGTGAAAGTGATGGTGTTGTCTCTCGGTGCAAGAGGAAATGGAGAGAATGTCTCTTGGTTTTGCAGATCCACGATGGAGGTTGTTGATGCACAAAATCAGCGAAGACTTTGGTACAACAGAAAGTGTCAGGTTTTGTGACCTTCGCTTGGTTGCTTCGGTCACTAGTGAGGATAAGTACGTAAATAAATAGAGACAGAGAAGCAAACACAGGATGTACGTGGTTCACCCAGATTGGCTACGTCCACGGAGTAGAGGAGTTCTTATTAGTAGTGAAGGGCTTACACAAGTACAAAGGATCAAGCTCTCAATTTAGTGAGTTCTTGTGAATGATTTAACACAAATGGCATTAGGCCATATTGTGGGGGAATGACCCCTATTTATAGAAAAAACTTGTAGCTTTGTCACATTGACATGTGTCATGTTATGATTGGTTCTTGATGTTGACACGTGCTGCGCTCTGATTGGCTTCTAATCTTGACACGTGTCGAGTAGTGATTGGCCTCCTGGTCGGAGGGGAACTCTTCTGGGTCCTTGACAGTATAGCGTTGGCCGGTGCTCGGTAGTTTTGGGATTGGTCAAGTATGGTACAAACAGTGCTCCCCTAAGTTCCCGAGTGAGGGAAACTCCTCGGTTGGGGACTTGCAAGATCCAATCCCTTGAGTAATCACGAAACTTCTAAGTACCGAAGTGTGGTCTGATCTTCATCTGCCCTTCTCTGGAAGTACCTTTCCTCCATCCGGGAATGGTGTACTTAGCTGATGTTGACGCACAAGGTAATGTATCAATTTCACTTGAAGTTTAGTTGTAGTTTCGGGCTTAGTCAAGTGTGATACAAACCCTATAGTAGGAGTCCCCCAAGTCGCCGAGCTAGGAGATCTGCCGAAAGAGGTGACAGACAAGGTAAGCAGTCAAACTTCCAAGTAAGCAACCCAGGATCAGAGGTTTGACTTCGGCTTCCGGTTGATTGTT